GTCTTGTATTTAAAGAAACTAAATAATTAAGAATCTACTTGAATGTTGGCATGTTTATCGCATTGTGAAAAACCAATGTTAGCTACAGTTATCAAATTTTGAATAACACAGTACTTTTGGAATTTGTTTTATTGTCTATTTCAGATTTTGTAAACTTTTAACGAATTTTTTATTAACGAACTCAACGTTTTAAAACGAGCAATGTTAACAATGTACGAAAAAAAAAAACATTTTTATCTTCCAGCGGGCGATGTCTATCAGGAATTCTAAAGATCATTTTAAAAATTTTTAGCCTAAAGAGATATTAGCCCAAAAGCTCTCGAAACCTGTATGCGTGTGTAAATGAACGAAAACGCCCGCTTTGGGCATAATATAAAATCTACAAGCTTTCAAATTTTTTTAATGAGTTTATTGTTGAATTTTCTGTAACGTAAGGGAGGTTTAAAGCTAAAATCACAAATAAGAAAGTTGATCATTTTCTTAAGAAAACTAAGCATAATTTCTGTATTATATTTTGGATAAAATAATCTAAAATAATCTCAAGTTATACTTTACTTAATGATCGTTGCTATTTAAAACATTGAACTAGTGATGCTGACGGCATCAGTGTGGCATTGAATGAAACCTAGCTCTTAATACACTTTACTTTTTTTTTTCTTTTCAAATTCAAGTTCCTATTTCTATATTCTCCATGTATTGCGAATTTAATTATTCAAAAGATTTTGTTTCTAGAAATGGGATTTCTTTCTTCCAGCCTGCATGCATTAAAACAATATCCCCTTCTGACTAATTTGTTGATATTCAAGCACCTTGAACTATCATAGAAAGGTTGACAGTGTTTTCTTCTTCCTCGCTTAGCTGCTCAATAGTTCTTGGAATTTACAATTTAACCATAAAATTACTATTCAATAAAAGTCTCAATCTAATCCTAAAGTGCTTTCTTTCATATACAAAATTTAGAGAAACTTCCGTCCGCCTGATTTGTCATGCATGGAGAAAAATCTTATTGATTCGCGATAGGAAATAGAAACCTCTGGTCGCCATAAAAGGACAAAATTGATTATTCTGATATGAATTTAAAGTGCATTTAAAAAAAGAACTCTTTTTATTTGTAATTACATAACATTATATTCTAATATGGTGGGGAAAACGTTGTGACAATGTAGAATTTAAAACTGGGCAGATATAGAATCTCAGACTGGCAAGATTTGGAATAAAAACCCTAGCTAATTGCAGATAATCACTTAACCACTGTAGAGTTCCTCGCTCTTATTCTACTAAAGTGACTGATAAGCGACTTATCGCTGAGTTCAAATAACAAAACTTATAAACATACGAAGGGTTAATTACCCTTTATTTCACTCAAAATAAGATGAACAGTTAGCGCCTTTCTCGGGCTTACAACAAACCCTATACTCGGGCTTGAACTCAAAATAAGAAATAAGAAACTTGAAACTAACTAAAAGAGACTTAGCACAAATCTACCATAGTTGGGTCTTAATTTAAACTAGCTGGCGAATATCAAAAGCACGTAATATACGGCTGAGCGTAACAGTTTCTAGAGAGACTTAGGCCGAATTCAAACACGAGCGACTCAGGATTCCTAGCTCTCTCTCTCTCTCTCGAAGTTGAACCTTCCCTTAAGTACTACTTTTAACTCATTTGCATTCAACGCGATTCTAAAAGTTCATTCTGGTAGGGAGTTGTAAGTTGAAATGCGAATCGATAGGAAAGTGCATTGAAATTAAAATAACTGGTATAAAATTAAAATATACCTTACACCACAATTTAGATTTTAATTGTGTCAAAATCACCCAAAAAGTTTTTTTCTGTTTGTGAGCTGTACTTCCTTGAAATTTTCATATTTACAAAATTTTTCTTTCTTTACTTATGGTATGATTAACAATCCTGTTTATCCCAAAGCTTTCAAATTCTAACATCTAAGCCTTTTACATTTTATTGTTATTTTTTTAAATAGATGGCATTACTGTCATTTTCTTTATTTCGTTGATTATTAACTCTATAACTATTAGTGCTATAACTATCGGTTCTACTTGAGAATCGCTGGGCCTTTAAAATGTTCTTGAATCAAAACAGTGCATTGTCATTGCCGATATTTATATTATGGCTTACCACTGCTTTATCAAGGTAATAATGTTCCTTTAGCCTTTGCACCTTCTTAATGCATCTTCTGCACTGCATTAACTACATTGTGGAGTATTATTTGCTGCTGGCTTCCTTGTTGGTATCTCGAGACATAATTAGTCATCCAAAACGTTTTCGTTTGAAAATTTTATTCGTGAACCGATTTACGATTCCTTTCTATTTATAGGCAAATTTGAACTAAAAATTTTGTTCGTGAACCGATTTACGATTCCTTTCTATTTATAGGCAAATTTCAAACGAAGAGATTCGCCGAATTCTTTCTTGACTTTGTGTTTATACTTTCGTCCTGTATCCGGTGTATGCTACGAATCATTAAAAAATACTTTATACACTGCACTTTTAAAATTCCAACACCATGAATGAAAGCAAATATTGTACGCAAACAGTATGGCGTCAAGACATAATGATTAAATTTGTAAGCAGTTTGGGGGTTTACAGGGGTGCGAAATCAGTAGAAACAGCTGCCACCCCTGGCAGTTAAAACGGCCCTTACCCGGTTAGGCATGGAGTCGAAGTGGGCTTGGATGACAGAAACGGGCAACTCTTTCCATGATTCTTCAAGTCTACGCCCCACTTCATCAACCGTATTAGCTATAGAGGGGTGGCGGGCCAATGTCTCAGCAACCCACGACCAGGTGCTTTCAATAGGTGACAGATCTGGGGACTGTGCAGGCCAGGGCAACAATCAAATACCCTGTGTATCGATGAAGGACAGAACTAGACATGTAATATGTGGTCTGACATTATCTTGTTGGAAGAAGGCGTTTGGCAGGCCTTAAAGATAGGGCACAAACACTGTAAGATGTCAGAAATGCACCGATCCGTGTTCAAATTACCGTCTATCCGAACTAAAGATGTGAGTGTCGTATACCCAATGGCTGTCCAAACCATCACAACAGGTGCAGGGTCCCTAGACCGATATCAGATGCAAGGAGGCGACTTGCTGTCTCCTCGGAGCCTCCAAACACGGATACGGCCATCAGAATACACTTAGCTACACTGCAAAAAAAGAACTGCTGGCCCTGTAGCTATAATTAATTAGCCTTGCAGCATTAACATCCTCTCTGCAGTTGCCATTTATTACTGTTGCGCCACAGAACAAACAGCAGTGAAGTTATGAAAAAGAAAAAAAAAAAAAAAAAAAAAAGAGCAAGGACATAAAAGTAACGTCATAACCAAAGGAATCACCGTCTTATGCAGACTACAGATTCTAAATGTGAAATCGAAGTTAAAAAGGTAATTAAAAACAGAATTTCTCGGAAGAGAAATGTACAAATTGCTTAAAAAATAAAAAGAGAGAGGGGGTGCTACTCAGAGCCAATTTTGCACAAAGTGGTTTGGGTATCGCTAGATGTCCGATAGTGTAATGAACCATGCAGCTATTATTCCATGAGACTACGTGCCCTTGTATACACTAGTGTTACCTACAGATACATACATATCAAAATACATTTACATATCAATTACATAAACATATCCTACCTACATGCAAATAACTACTGTTACTTGCATTGTTAATAGGTAACACTTACAGATTTAGTTACGTTAATACATACACCTACGTTAATACATACACATATTGCATATTTAGTTACGTTAATACATACACAATACACATATTTTAAACATGCAACTTTGTTTCAGTTCACGAGCACAGTTCCATATTATGTAAAGAGACAGTTACATGCACTTTACTGTGACCTAAATATGAGCCGCAGGACCTATGCCGAAAATATCCCTTGCATTATCCATAAATATTATATTTTTTTATTTAGGCTATGTCCTATTACGGCTATGTCCCAAAAGATTTGATATAGTGCACGAATGGAACAAATGCATGAATAAACAAAAAGAAATTGGAAAAGAAGTAGCTGTCTTAAGTTTTCATTGCTACTTTTTATCTATCCATCCAGTGTTGTACGTCGTAAGGCAGTTTATAGTTTTCCGTATTTGAATTATGCTTTCTTCAGGTTGTTGTTGCGATATTGATTACTGGTTATTTATAGCTAGGGAAACCCAAATCCGGCTATAAATAACAATATCTTGCCATTTCGACAAGCACATTTTTTATTTTTTATTTCTGCATTCTTTCTAGATGATCTTCAAAAGTGCCGAGCTTAGCCTTAAAATAAAATCGTCTCAAGGAATATCTACAAAATGTTGAAAAAATAAAATGAAAAGTAAAAAATAACAAAATAAAAGTACTTTAATAAGCAAAAATTATTTAAAAAATTATTCAAAAGAGAAGTGAAACCGATAAATGATGCAAACGAAGCATAAAATATCATTCTGCGGAAATTAATGATTCGTTTTTATCAGATTTTAGCATATTCTTGATAGCAATTAAAAAGTAAATCCTGGAAAGTAATTGCGATTCTCAAACTAAGATGGATATGAAAGGAGTTTTATGTAGGTAATGAGTCGTAATCTTACCATGTTAGACGAAAAATAGTTCGAAATATTATGAATAAAAATGGTTTTCCTGTTCTAAAGCAGGCATGTATGCGATACGCGGTTGTTTCAGTTAACGAGGTGTGTCAGAAAAACTCATTCGAAATATGCAATATCCGAAACAAAAATTAACAATAAAGAAAAGGAATATCCAAATGCTTTGTGTAGAATGAAACGCAATAATTATCAGACCGTGATTTGTGATGGATCTTTTTTTTTTTTTTTTTTCTAATTTCCGTTTATATTCTTGTAAAGGGAAAAAACGGAACATTAAAAGGAAGGAAAAAGATAAAAGGTTTACGTAGAAACTTTTTTTGGGGTTTGGTTTTGCTTTTTATTGTATCGTTTCAAAGTGTTTAATTTGAGTTTTGCTTTCTGATTAGCTGGTTGGAAAAAGCAGTTCGTTTGAAGACATCCTTTGAACAGACACACGAAAAGATTTGAAGATAAATTAATTTCATTGGTGATATCACTGTCTTCCGAAAGAAATGGCTGCTGTGCGGAATTCTGAAATCTTCCATTCTGCTTATAAAGCTAAATTCAACTCAAAGGTAAGCTATTAAAACTTTTTAATATTATATATTTTTCTTAAATAACGTGATACAGAAGTTCGTTCTCACTTTATGGAAACAATTTTCTATTTACCTTTTCGGTACTCTTCTGTTTTGAGGGCCGTAAAAAAATTGCAGCGAAAATGTATGCGCAAAAGCGCCAAATCTAGCGTACGCGCTGGTTTCATATTGCGTAAGTTCTATATTTCTTAAGACGCCATTAAAATACTAGTTTAACTTCCTGTTTTGATTTTAAATCCCTTTTTGATATCCTATGGATTTAGCAATTTGGGAATTGCCCATGATGAAAAGTCGGCAATAGAACTTTGGGTAAAGTGCAGAGTCACTCACTGATTGACGCATTTTTAAGAATTGCACATACTCGCTATCCATGTGCACATCAACCTATTTTCACTTAAAAACAAAATCCTAGAATTGCACAAAAATGGCACTGCACACACCCTTGGCTTTATCTATGTACACTTTATCTATATACTTTATCTATACACACATCGACCTATTTTCACTTAAAAATTAAAAGAAAATTGACAAAAATCAAATTGTTTTCACCCTTGTAAAAAGCGGCAAACAAATAAGTGAGCGATTCTGCAATTTACCGAGAATATTTTCAAAGAAAAGGCATCATTCATTATAGAAAATTACGTTTCAACAACCAACGAGATGAAATTACGCTTAAGCGATAAGTCGGTAGCGAAATAGCGATGCAGGCATCCATTCAGTAACGTTTAGCAATTTTTATATAAATTATAAAAATGATCTGAAATGGTTATTTACTCTTATACTTCCATTCAGTCGTGTTTAGCTTTTTTCACATAAATTATAATAATAAAAAAGTATTATATGAAATTAAACTTTCATCTAAATTAAAACATCAATCTTAAACAGTTATTTATTATTATACTTCCTTTCTTTCCGCAATTATTAGGGTTGCCGAAATTATTTTTGGCAGCATTGGCATCAACAATAGTTTGGCGACTTTTTACGGCCCTCGAAACCGAATAGTACCAAATTTTCTATTCAGTATTTTGAAATAAAGATTTGGCATTTTGAATATAATCGTCTGCTGCTGTTTTGCTTCGAATGGAATAAAGAATAAGAGATTTATTTTGGAAACGGCTCTTGAAATTGGTAGATGGCTCGAAGCTTACGCAAATGCCCTCTCGAGGTAATATTTATATCAACAAATTGTAATTTTGTGCAAAAATCGAAGTTATTTCTTTTCAAAGAATTGTATTTCTAATAAATTAAATTGGAAAAGCGTTCAGGTGAAAATAAAAATTAAACAGGGCATCAAAACCGCATCCTAACGCAGTTAAATATAAAGAACGCGAATATTTGCCCATGTAAAATGCGGATAAATGTCAAGAAAATGAGCTATCTAATTTGAAAGAAATTCCACCGACTCAAAGTTCCACTGTAGCGGAATTTGATATGTCTTCTGGTACTATAAAATTATTCATAAAGATTTGAAGTTAAGTTTTTGAAGTCTGAACAGGATTTTGTAGAAGAAATTCCAGCCCCCATATGGAGAGGATATCAGTAAAGTTGAGCTTCACATGGACGAAGCCTCTCTAGTCACACGTCTAAGTCAACTGTCGCTTATTTAGCATAGAGAAAAGCAGAAACAGGACTAAAATACATCCCATTTAATTAAATACTTCTAAAATCACTTGATGTTCCTCCTGTGATTTTGTGTGCTGTTTGTTCGTTCGCTTATGGAAACGACATCCAAGAACATTACACGGACTTTAAAAAACAACCCAAGAGGAGTGGGATAAATTTGGCATGATGATATTAAGATAAAGGTTTCTTTCATGAAAGATTCGATCTAGAGCTATAACTAAGATCAACGCTATCACACAGAAGAAAATCGCTGCAAGAAATATATCTTTTATGCATAAAGAGTAATTATCAGAATCGTTTAAGGGGACTCATACATCTTAAAACCCATAAGATGTTCGAATAGGTGACTGTTGCAAGAATTGGGATAACTTTTTTATTTTGAAAGCAATTGCTACCAACGTTTTCAGCTGACTACATAATATAGCTGCTTTCTGAAATAGTGATCAGAAAGTCTGTGTTGACACAAATATTTTTATAATTTAATCCGCTTTGTGACAACATTCTTCGTCATGTTTCCAACTTGCGCGCACAGTTTAAAACATTCTGTTTCATAATTTAATTCCATAATTAATATATAGCTTTTATAACATTTGGAAACTACTGTGAACCTAAAATTCTAAAACTTTCATGTTAAATTTTTATTTTATTTTGAGTTAAGTTTATAAGATGTATTTTATTAAAAAAATTTGTAATGTTTTCGTCCATGAAATTTTCAATATTAAAATATTCATCAGATTGTTGGTTCAGTTAGAAAGTAGTGCCCATATAAAGAATTCCATCCAATTTCAAGTATGTACCATTAGCCATTTTTAAAATATCATGCGCGCAAGGTGGAAACATGGAGAAATATTTTGTCGCAAAGAGGATTAAATTACAAAAATATTTGTGGCAACACAAACTTTCTGGTTACTATTTTCCAAAGCAGCTATATTATGTAGTCAGCTGTAAAAAGTTGGAAGTAATTGCTTTTAAAATAAATAAAATATCCCAATTCTTGCAACAGTCACATATTCGAAGATCATAAGGGGTTTAAGGTGTATGAGTCCCCTTAAATAAAATGCGAACAAAGACTTGGATGAAATGGAAGCATACGATTTCTTATTTATTCTATAGCAGATTGAACAGGCTATTGAATGAAAAATGAATTGTGAGCGAAAATTGACAACAATTTTTATTGGATATTTTTCATCGTCGTCTCAATCTTCACAGAATGCCTTTCGGGGCATAATATTCCAAAGTTTCTTGACCAATCCTTCTGAAACTAACCATTACAAATATCTTTATAATCCACAGATATACTTGCCTTGGTCCAGCCTTGCCTATATGCCTTGTTCGAGCATTCGAACCCAGACTTGGTATGATACCAAAGTGTTAAGTAGCATGCCCAGTGGGTGAGTGTTTTATTTAGTCATGAAAGGCTGGAAGAAAGAAAAGATGTAAGATATTTTGTAGCTTTCTGAAAAGTTCGTATGCATTTAAAGAAAGGTAACAAATTTATTTCGATATCGTATGAGATAAAATTGTGTAAAAATATTTTCTTATAACATATAAATTAAACAACAAATTTTTATACTACATTGTTTAAGATGTTAAACCGTGTATATAAGACAAATACAATTTTTAAATAGAATATTGAGAAAAATATCATGCCACAGTCGGGCTAACGCAATACATTAATATTATAGTCACACGTAAAATTTGTGACTTATTGAATTTCCACAGAGTAAAAAGAAATTAACAATTAATATAAGCAATTAAAATAAATGCAGTCTTTATGATTTGGGGTTAAAAATCATTATTCATACTCAATTTTTAAAAGTATGTATGTGTCAAAAGTTTCAGAAAAAGTTTGTAATTATTGTTTTTTTATTAATTTTCAGTTTCAACTCGGATAAATATACGCATAATGTTAGTTATAAGCTTATGTATACATTCATCTGCCATGCTTGGTTTGATATCTCTTGAGTTATTTGATCTTGTAAGTAAAATATACGGTGTTTCAAAAGATAATGGACCAAATTTTAAGAGCTGGTAGGACAAACTGAAGCAAAGATTTTTTCCGATGTAGAATGCACGATCAATCCGAGTACAGAAACTAGTACAGAGAACTTTCTGGAGGAATTTTTTACCTATGAACATATTGTCCATCCTACACAATTTCTACATCTGAAATGATAAATAACTATTTCTGTACCGAGAAGAACGATATGAAAGCGCTACGAAAGTGCCGAAAGCGTTTTCCCAATTAATGAATTCCTCATCGGAAAGCATTTAAGCACTTGCTCCGGCAGCTATATAAAATAGTACATTTTCATGCCAATATACGTAGCATAGGTATTACCAAGATGGTTATATCGAATGTGATAAAGATATCCTTGGTATGATGAAAAATTGATCTAAAATATGCACATTAACCATAAAACATATAGCACCATAGTTGTTCAAGTATTAAGTGAAAAATAATACACTTATTTTATTTCCAAAAAGTAAATACAGATTTATCCCCTTCGTACGAAATTTGCTTGTGGAACTGGAGAAAAGTGCTTTGCAGGCAAATGTGAAAGAATCGGTTCTATTCAAGTGCGGTGTCATCTTCAGCATTAGATGGTTAATAGGCACAACGCACATATGTGGCCCGCCGTAATAGCTACGTGCAATATGGGGCAAGGGCAACCGTTAGCAGTTCTCCATAAATGCTTGGGCAACTAATCATCCACAATTACTTAACTAGGCCTTATCTTCTACCAGATTACCTAAACGGAGAAACCAGACATATTGTTTTGCAAGAGATCCTGTCAAAATTTCTGCAGAATGTACCACCAGTAACCTTCCGAGGACGTCGATAGAAGGCCAGCATATTTTTGCTGTGATGTGCTACATCAAAAGTATATTTTTGCTCAAGGATACTTCTATCATCTCCTGTCTCGACTTTCTGAGGAACATCTGAAGAGCTACATTCTATCAGACTCCAATCCAAGCTCTAAGGACCTTGTCGCTAGAATTAGAATCAGTACTCCAGTAATGCATGAGAGGCCTTGCATTTTCCGAAATTTACGCGGTTCACTCTATAGTCGCAACGACGCATACATTGCGATTGATAGCGGTTCTTTTAAGGAAAAAAATGTAGATATTATAATGAAAAATTATTTTCTCCACACTCTGTATCATGTTTTATTACTTATTTATGTATTCGTGACGCAGAATTTCAGACTAGATTAGGCATTCTGAACATTTGTTTCACAAACTCCTCAAGTTTTGTGAACCTTTTGAAGCACCGCATGTGTAAACATACCCTCGAATATTACATTTTCAAAGAAAATATGGTTCAGGGTTTCGTTACTTAATATTTTATCAAA